CTTTTCAGAAGAGGAAAGTGGCGAGCATCTGACAAGGAGGGGTTGACAATGAGGTGGGGCTGGGTGGGGAGGGGGGCAGCACAGCAAATGGCCCAGCTCTTAGTGTACCCAGCACAACCTCACTGAAGGTTGTACTTCACTTTAGTGTCTGTCCGGATTCCTGCGGCAGGGGCCTGGGCTGTAATCACAGGCAGTGACTCTTCCCACGTAGCTTCATGTGATTCTCACTCCAACCTTGGTGGGGAGATGCTGACACTAGTCCTATTTGTCTGGGGGGAAAGTGAGGCAGGGGGGTTAGGAGACTTGAGCAAGATGGTTACACAGAGAGAGGCCAAGTCCAGAGGGGACCTCATAAATTGCAGTGTCTGTCCTTTCCCGTATATGTCCTGTTACCTCAAACCCCAGCCAGTGTGTGGTGAGCGTGTTTCTCTGACCAGAACTCATTTCTCCTTCCTGCTGCTCTGTCCACTGTGTCTCTCCCCTGAGGCAGGATCCCCCAGAGTTAGGGGAGGAGGATGAGCCTTCATGGGGGCGTGACCCGTCTCCTGCTGTGTTGGGCAGGACCTTGTCCTTGTCCCTGCAGGTCAGGGCTGGGAGGGGACTGGCCTTCAGGGGACCTGAACAGCAGACAGAGCAGGACAGGGCCTGTGGGGGACCTGACACCTTGGGGACATGTCTGTGTCCTGAAGCTATTCTGGGTCACCTGCTCTAGTGAGGGTCCGGACCACAGGCGCTGGCCTGTCCTTCTTGGGCCTGGGTCTGTGCCTCTGTCGTGGGAGTCCCTGCCTGTGATAAGGGGAGGGGGCAGTTTGCACCTTGGGCCAGGTGCTGGGAGTGGAGGGGCCTGGTGCTCTGAGCAGGGTCTGGGTGTGTTCCACGGGCGGGAGGCGAATAGACAGTGTTTTTCCCCCAATAAACCTCATGGTCCTAGCAGCCCAGAGGCGGGGAAGCCCTGGAGGGGCCAGGTCTGTCCTCCTTGGTCTCAGGGCCTGAGGGGTCCCCAGGAAGGGCCCTGCTCCTGCCGGTGGGGGTCCCTGGGGCCTGCCTGAGCCCAGAGCCCCTGGCTGCCTGCCCCTCTGTGTGTCCTGGCTGCCTCCCGCCCTGTGTCTCCCCAGCCTGAGGAGATGGCGCCCTGCTGCTGCCCCAGCTCTGTGCTCTGCCTCCTCCCCTGCCTGCTGCTCCTCTTCCAGACGCCCCGGGGGTCTACAGGTGAGTGTGCCCCTCTCTGTTT